GTAGGTCGTAGGTAGTAGGTAGTAGGTAGTAGGTAATAGGTAGTAGTAGTCGTCGTCGTCGTAGTAGTAGTAGTAAGCAGTAGCAGCATCATAACAGCCGGAAAAGAGGAAGCAGTACCATAGCAGCAGCAGTACCAGTTGCAGCAGCAGCAGCAGCAGCAGCCGCCTACTCATGCTGATAGTGTTTGGAACACTATCGGTGTCGATGAGTGGCAATATGTTCCATCGAGGATACCTGCGAAGTCCCAAGTTGCAATGCAGGGACAGGGTGTCTCAGCAAACATAGCTCAATCGACATTCCCAAGGCTCTCAGAAAGGATGGTCCAACGACGACCTTCAAACTCCACATGCGGTGAACCCCTGACCACGTGGGTTGAAGCTCCATGCAGAGAGCCAAGGGCACACCAGACATTTGGCGTGCTTACTACGGAGTTGAAACGTGCCAAGCTGAGGGGTCGTCTGGCACTTCTGCTATTCGATCAAGTCTGGGTTGGTACTCTAGACCGTGAAAGACTACGGAGGCGTGGATGCACAATGAACATTTCAACCTCAGGTGCTTGATTGCCTTAGGTGCCGAGAAGTACGGCAACTTCGTTAAGACTCGGACATGGGGATGCAGTGTATGGTCTGACTCCATGCCAGGATCGATCTCCCCGCAAGTCGCGTCTGAAACGTTCCCACGTCCTGAGGACCACCTCACGCTAGAGGCACAGGCAAGTCGACCAAACAGATTCTCGCCAACTCATAAGCAAACCATCTCGCGGGTAAACCACAAAACAACACTGCATGAACTGTTACCGGCAGAAGTGTATCGGCTTCTGCACACGAATCTGCAGTCGCGCATGTTGCCACTCAGGTCGCACCTCAAGCATATACCACTACCCCCGTTAAAGCTGCGAACCATATGGCTACTGTAAGCAAGTCCTGCGAAGGAATCCGATAATATCACGCATGGCAGCAGGATCACTACAGGCTCCGGCTGTGGTCCTCGAGGCTAGAGCAAGCCTTCTTCGGCTGCTTGGCCACTGTCCGGCCAGTGGGAGGTGTCGATGCTTTGCGACAAAGTTTTGCATTTTGGATCGAAGTTCAAAGGCCCGAGATCCTCCTTTCTCATGCCCTGATCCATAACGCTTTAGGTAGGGCTTACATGACTTTTGAGGGCTTATAATATAATAGGGTCTAGAAGGTGTAGGGTTAGGGGTGTCGGGCTTCTGTCCAGAAGGAGGAGCCGCTTGCTTTGAGAAGTTCATTGGAGTCTTTTGAGAATAGTCTTCGGCCTCCAGGAAACGATGGGAGTCGCCCGTCGGTCTGACATGTTGCAGAACCGCTAGCAGTGGCTATGAACATAGAGCATCACTTCGCACCTGTGGGAAGTGTTGACTAAACTCAAAGCTCCTAAAAAACCCGAGGAGTTTCTCCGGTTGGGAAGCCCGTAAAAAGGGCCTTACTGAGGCCCCATTAAACTCATATTAGGGTTTAGGGGTTTAGGGCTTAGGGCTATAATTCTTTATAAAATACTTGTATTACTGCACACTTGAGGCTCTCAGGATTCCGAGGCCCCTCACACGAAACCCCTTATGAGGATCCGGGCTTCAAGGTGCAATGACGGCTCTAAAACCCTTCAGGGTTTAGGGCTTAGGGCTTTAAGGTAGTTTTTTTTTTTTTATCGGCCCTTTTCCTCCCTTCCGCATGCCCTGTAGGGTTTAGGGTTTAGGGTTTTAAGGTAGATCCTCCTCAACCCTAGCTTTGGGGAAGGTCTGGGGGGTTCAGCTTCTCATGGCACTTGCGAAGACAAGCCGATGCTTTGGGAATCTAAGATGGGGTCGGAATGATTGGAAGAGTGTGTTATTGGGTCATATCCTGTAAAATGCTGAAAATAGGATATAGGGACCACATGGGAAACTGTTGCTAATTCATTAGTCAGACCTCGACAATATAGCGAGCGAGCAGGCAGACTCCCAAATGCGGAGACCTCTGTGCTGATGATCGGGCAGACGCAGGCCACGCCGGCACTGATCACGACGGCCCAGGTCCATGAGAGTCATCAATCTCAGCGCAGCTAGGATGCTAAACAACTTAGAATACAGGGCTTCACAAGGATGTTGTAGCCTTTGATAATTACCAGGGCTTTAGGAAATGGGCCTTTGGTCAGTGTAGCTTAACTGCCGATTATTCTGGCCCCTGTATTTGCTCTGTAATCTTTGCCAGCCAGTCGCTTCGGGTAAGAGCTTGTTATGACGTCCTCAGACCATAGTCCGTTTTAAGTTCAACAACAGCCTGGACATCTAGAGGAGCTCGCTCTTCCAGGCTGGACAGGCGAGTGAGAACTCAGAGCCCAAGGCGTATGTGTGCATCCCCCTCCCCGTGGTTTAGCTCGAAGACACGACAGAACTGAGGCAACGTGGGTTTCAATCTGGGAGCTGCAGCACTTGGTAATGAAGGCATTCCTGCCCATCTCCTGTAGCATCAAGGACTTGTATAGCGTACCCTCGAGCCCTTGCTCGAGAATTACCCCTCAGCTCTGGATCGGCAATGCGATATGGGTAGTTCTCTAAGTTAGGGTCCCCTCTAGAAACCCTTCAAGAAACTACAGATCCCTTTAAGGAACCCCAAAAGTGACCCTAGTTTAGAGAACTACCCCTGTCACCCTGAACCCTATATAAACCCTAACGATCATGCCCAGTAGCAGGGGAGATAGCACGTGGGGACCGGCTTCTCCTCGTCAGGAGAACGCCTTCGAGCCTGAATCTGGCAGCTGGGGGATTTTGAGGCCCTAAAGCCTAAACCCTAAGGAAGTTTAGGGCTTCAACTTCCATCCGCAAGCTGGAGCTCCGACTTCGTGGGTTTGGGGCTTAGTTTTGCTTTTAGGGCTTTGGGATTGTGGCAGGTTTTTTCACAGCTTGTCATGAAGATGACAAGCAGAAGCATGCTTCGGGCTGGGTCGTGATCGCAATAGTACCCGGATGCACACACTACCCGCGGTTTTGAATACAGCGCTGGGCTTTGCAAGTTGCTCGGGCTGCGGGTCTTAAGATTCTGGACAATAAGATTTGTGACACAACAGTCAACCTGCTTCGAAGTGCCGATGGGGTTTGGGATTTTGGACCTTGGAGACATCCTAAATCATGCACTCAAACCCTAAACCCTTAAAGGAACCCTGTAACTTGAGACTCTGGGGCATTCTACTCCTGAAAAGACAACCCTCGAGGCCACCCGTGGTTCGGCCGAAGAAACCTCAAGATCCGGCACCTCAAAACACCCAGAAGTCAGAACAAAAAACACTGGCCCTAAACCTTGCTGCTTTTAGCCCTCATGACCCCACTAGAATACAAGCCGAGATCCCAACTTCAGAAAGGAATATTAAGACTGCTGTAAGACCTACTTCAACGGTCCTGACTGATCCAATCCGAAGTCCCACCCCAACAGCTCTGAAACATGCCTAGCCCTGGCACTGGATCCCAAATCCTCCGGCTCAGCTCAATCCCCTAAGCACCAAGACGGTTTAGGCTGGTGCCAAACCAATCCCAAAACCTAACACTAAACTGAGTAGGGTGTTGGGGTATATGTGGTCCTATAGCTGCATGGAGTCCACACGGGAATACTCGTTCCAACGAATTCCGATCCTCCCTAAACCTGAACCCTACACCCTAAACCCTAAACTCCAATCCTTAAACCCTAATCCCTACACCCTAAACTCCAACCCCTGAACCCTAATCCCTACACCCTAAACCCTAAACTCCAACCCCTGAACCCTAATCCCTACACCCTAAACCCTAAATCCTTAAACCCTAATCCCTACACCCTAATCCCTAAATCCTTAAACCCTAATCCCTACACCCTAATCCCTAAACCTGAACTCCTGAACTCCGAGAGCCCCAAAGCCGGGCTCCCTGGCGAATCCGGAGGGGCTGGCATTGCTCGCCTCAGGCGGCCGAGACCCCAAACTTCATGTATTTATCTAGTAAGTATAATTATGATAAAATCAAGTACTTTCAGTATTACTATCATTAATATTATTGTTTTTATTATTTGTATTATTACTATTACTACTATTATTATTATTATTATTGTTATTAATATTAATTATTATTGTTATCATTATTAATTGTATTGTCATTATTATTGTTATTACTATGATTCCTATTATCTTTATGATTATTATGATCATTGTCATGAAAATTACTGCTATTTTTCTTATTATGATTAGTATATATATATATACCTAGTGCTCCAGTTACTTAAACCTATAGGTTACCAACCTCATACTTCATAACCCAGTAACCCAGTGTTTAGGTTACTGGAGCCCTAGGGTAAGACTTTGGAAGACTATGTTGTAGTTTAACCTTACTATGGGTACCGCCGGATTTTATGACAGCCTTATTGGATGCTGTCTAGTAAAAATCACTGCCTTACGAAGCCTACAGGTTTGCCGGAGAAGCCAGAGCACAATCTCCGGCCACAACTCTCCGTCTTTCTCCCCATGCAGCTTTTGAGGCTTTGTGACTTTGCGGTTTTCCTCTACCCCAAGGCCTTGAAGCCGGACACACTTTTCCCGAACATGGGGCTGTAGCACCAAGCCCAAACCCCGAAAAAAAACACAACCACCATCAAGTAAGCACCTGGTGAAATCTGTTCGATTGGCAGCGGAGACGCCTGCTGAGGCTTGCGATGGATGTTGTTTCCTGCTCTGCTGATCGGCGTTCCATCGGCCAAGCAGTCCATGTCATTACCTCCGCAGGCATAAAAAATTAGGGGCCTTGATGATAGAACAGGATTCGGGACATGTATATCGCAGTACAACTAGATCGAACAACCATCAGGAAGAATCTGTGCAATTCTTCAGGCGCCTATGCTTGAACCCATGTTGCTCTTGCTTCGGACTTGGCTAGGGCAGGCTTGGTGCTCAACCTTTGCAGGTCTCGAGATACTTGAAGCCTTGAACTGTAGCGGTGAAATGTTATAGGAACTTAGTAAGAAGTGCATTCAAGCCGTATTCGTGCAGCGAGTAGAATCAGTGGAATTATGCGTGGGAGCCTTTGACAGGGAGATCAAACCGATGATCGCGGCCTGCTGTCTTGACCCATGCATGCCGTGGTTCCACGAATACGACTCCCACATAGCAACGATCATGATGGCTTGCTTTCCGGCGAACCCTGAGTTGAGCTCGAAATCATGAATCCAGAGATCGAGTTAAGACGACTGAACTGCCGTCAGGGAGCTCTCTGCCAGGCTCCTTCGAACTGGCGTGGTCGGGGCTGCCGGGGTTGGGGCTGCGGTGGGTGCAACCGGAGTTGGAGCTGGAGTCGGAGGAGCTGCCGGAATTGGATTCGCGACATAGGCCGCAGCTGGCGGAGTTGGGGGCATGCTGACGGCAGCCGGAGCAACGGCGGGAGCTGCAGGTGTGGACACCGATGACTTCGGGGTTGGTGGCACCTGAGCTGGGCAAGCTGCCGGATTTTCGGCCTCGCAACAGATCATGATTCTCTGTACGACGGTAATATAGAAGGACTGAACAATCACCAATGCTATGCTCAGAAAAGCCGTATACCCCAAATGCCTGTTCTACCGAGTAGGGCCCCTTTTGTATGTGCACTGCAGGGCCAGAAGTCTCAGCAAGCAACGGCCTGGATTTGCCCTTCGGGCGTAAGGTTCGAGTTCGTAGCCCCAGCATCGAGTTGCGACAGTGCTGTCCTGACATGCGGAACCCGAAGACACCAGCAAGAATAGAATCCAAGCCCCGGACAAATGTCTTCGGCATGGGGAGTGGGGATGAAATGGGGGCGGGGGTGGGAGCCGGCATCGGAACTGGAGTGGGAGCTGCCACCGGAGTGGGTATTGGTGTCGCCATGGGAACTGGAGTTGGCACCGGAGCAGGCGCTGTTGCTGCCATTGGAGTTGGTGCCGGGGCCGGGACTGGTGTTGCCATTCTCGCGGAGTTGTTGCCTGGGGCTTTGAGTGGTCAAGCAGGCCTAGCCATGGCCCCGAAACCCTACGAGTGACTTTGTGGCCAAAATCTCAAACTCCAAACCCGCTAAACCCCTTTTGCTTGAACCGACAATCTCAGACCTTCAATTGCAAGTCAATATCTGCAAGTTCAGAGGGGCATTGTTGTCCATGCTTCGTGACTTCAGGAAGCTTATTGCTTTGGTCTCGCGGCTTGAGCACTTGTGCTGGAGTGGCGTACCCTAATCGGTTTCGGGTTTTAGGGCTTGAGGTTTAGAGTCTCACTAGCGCTACCGACTACCCGGCCGCTATTGCTCTGGAGGTGCAACAGTCTGTGCCTCTGCTTGGAGGCTCATGGTTAGCAATGCAACTCCTGGTAAACGGGTTGTAACATGTTATAACATGTTAAGTGTTATCATAGTTTTGTGTTTGTATATACATATGCATGATTTACATATAGTTATACCCCCTGAACTGCGACTGGAGCTACCAGACCTATAACACCACTGACAGCTACCTATGAAGCCCTAAGTAGGATGTTCCAAATGATAATGCCGGCAAGCCGCCGGCTGCTTCCAGCGGCGTGCCATCAACCAAGTAGCCTTGACTGTTTGGAGTAGTTTCGTGTTTAGTCCCATGCGGTCTAAGGTATTTTGCTGAAGCAATAGATTAAGCCTTAACGGGCGAAGAGTACTGCAGCCAGGAGGTTGCATAGGGAGTCAAAAGGGAATCCCACTTCCGAGGTTTCAGGCCGCATTATGCCGCATTGCCAGCGGCTGCAAGTGTGGCCTTCTGCTTATGAAGGGGTCCTGGCCAGGAACACTACCCATAGGCTCATAAGTAGTTCCTTTTTGTGGTTTGTATTTAGAATCCTATAAGGCACTCCCAAAAAGGAACTACTAAGGAGCCTATGGGTAATGTTTAGAGAAAGACGCGAAGAAAGGGAGAGACCTACCCCCAGCAATTGGATTCAGGATGCAGCCTTTGGGGCGTAGGGCTGGTGGGCCAGGCTCCATACGAGCGTTACGCAGAGAGCGTTGGGCAACCAGCTTGGCAGGTGAGCGGCGATCAACTGCCGAAACTTTCAACTCCGCTCAGCTCACATGGACTGTTCTGCCTGCGTGTCGCTCTTGAGAGGGAAGATTCGAACAACATGCAACCCTTCAAGCCCTGAGCTTTCCAAACAAAAAGCCCTCAAGCACCAAGCTGAAATAACAAGGCCAGCAGCCAACATCCGCAGCATATGCCGACTCAGGCAGTGGTGATCCTGCTTTGCAGTGACAGCGTTTATCTTTCATCCAGCTTTCGCGGTTCAAAATGATCAGAGACCGAACAAACCTTGCCTCCGAAGGACATTGTGCAGTTAAGTGAAACTGTGAGACCCAAATCTTCACCGTGCGAGTCTTCTTGCTTCTTGTTTGGGTACACCCACACCCCGAATCTTCGGAAGTCCCCGGCTTACGCTTCGCCATAATCTTTGTTGATCCTGCCAGGACCTGAGGACAATGATACACCCCATATTCGTGCACTTTCTGGGCCCCGTGTGACTCAGAAGCCCCGTTGCATGCACAATGGGTTACTGTCGCATCGCCTCTGTGTGTTATAGGAACAGTAACCTCCACATGTATGCATGCATGCATGGATGTATAAATAAATAAATAAATAAATATATATATATACACATTGGTTGAAGGGTGTATAGCCTTATCCTGCATATGGATGCATGTGTGTGCGTATATATATATATGTATTTATTCATTTATTTGTTTATTTGTTTATTTATTTACACACATACATATACATTGAACTATATATGTTCATAGTTGCTATACTTTCAAAACGAGTATTTATGGATGCACATAAACATATAATCACATGAGTGAGTGAGTGTCGACCTGGGGTGCTCTCCGGCCTGCGGAAACGGTCCCTCTCGCCTTCTTTGCCCCTCCGCATGCGTCATCGGGACTCCGGTGCAGAGTTCAACGCTCCGGGCCCCGCAATCCGAGCCTGGGGTTTGGGGAGGGATGTGCCGCCCGAACCTCCATGGGCCCGCCCCCCCAAGCCGGGCGGCTTGGGTTGGAATTGGACACTTGGCAAAACAGCCCACTTCGCAGGAACACATAAACATATAATCACATTATTTATTATATATTTGTGTGTATGTATATGTATATATATATATATACATACACATACATACATGTTATGTGCATATTCTGTACATAGGAAACTCTGGCTCTGGTGGGGAGGGCTGCTGGCTGCTTGTTCAGGGTTTGGGATTTCAGGGTTTTACGGCGCCAGGGGGATTTGGGCGATCTGGCGGCTTGGCAGCTTTCGGGGTGTATGGAGCCTGGGTACAGGGCATCTTACCGCTTTCATGACTGCATCGATATTACGCTGACGATTTGAAGCTTGCTCCGGCGGATATGAGCTTCGATTTCTGGAAACCTAAGAGCGGCCTGGAGTGTGAGGATCTGGAGCGCTCCGTTCCGGATGGTTGATCGCATTGCCGGCCTGGAGACGCAAAAGCTGAAGAAAACCGCGAAGTTAGTGCCTTCCTTCGGACACTGAACCTGCTCCTCCCCATGTCTTCAGCAGTGCCTCTAAGCTCCAAGGGAGCTGAGGCTTCTGTGCCCCGGTGCACGGCAAAACATGAACATGAAAGCGACGATGGTGGTGACAGTGGGGTTTTGGTTCAGGGCTGTGGGCGGCGGTGCAAGGATCACGGCATGGCGATTGTGAAGAGACCTTCATCATTCATGGCCATCGCCATGATGTTGAGCAGACACACCTTGTTCAGTCTATCCGTATTAAAGTTCAAGTTCAGACGACCGATTATCCTTGAATTGACACAGAAGTCACCGTTCGGCGCCTTGTTCATTGGCGTGCCATCCGGAAGATAACCTCGTGCAGCATGGGGACTCTGTGTATGCTCAGGGGCTTGCAGGTACTGTTTTCGGTTAACTTGGACCACAGGTGGGGGGCTTCCATATTCCCGACTGACTGTGCATGGTCGCGAGAGATGGAGGAGGCTTCGTACGAGTATACTGCAAAACAGAATATAGTTATGCCGTAAAGGAGGAGGTCAGAATCCTTTGAACACAGGACTTTCGTTTTAAAGCAGCCGGGAAGTTCACAAGAGAAGACACCCGAAGGGCTTTTGGCCGCGCAGAGAAGGACGATGGAATATCTAGGCTACTTCTCAGTCTATTCTAAAGCACGAGACTTCAGCCTATTAGCTGACAAACCCCATACGAGAGCACCAGTACCCTTGTCAACGGAGGGTTACAGCTCTAAGCGGAGGATGCACCACACTACTTTACGATGCTTACACTCTCTTCCTCCATCTTTGAAGGCTTTTCGGCTTTCAGGGAACCCACCACGCTGTAAGGTACAACCTTGCAGAACTGCAGGGCCCTCCCCTTCTGGAAAAGACCTGTCCTAAAAGGCCGAATCATGCTATCGAGAGTTCAAGGATCCGTAAGGCTTTAGAAGGCTCTAGGGCACAGGGTGAAAGGTTATCAGGCTCTAGGGCTTCTACAAAGTGCTCCAGAGCTTATAGGGATTTGGGGTTTAGCGTCGCAAGGCTCGGGTTGACGGCGTCAAGTCTGGGGCCAGCATAACTACCAACATGATTCCTTCGGGTACCTATAGTATGATTCTACTACAATCGACCCCGAAAGCCTGCTCAACTTGCTAGTTCTGTACATTACGTTTTGGGCTCAGGGATTCGGAGCTTGAGCCTTACTGCTTTCGATTCATCCAGGAGCCAATCGAGTTGACGAGGTTCGCCCGTGGCAGTGGTGATCCTGGGCGGCTTCGGTGGTCTTGAATTTAACGGTTAGGTTTTTAGGTATAGGGTTTGGGGTACTAGGATTCAGGGTATAGGGTTTAGGATACGATTTTGAGGAATCGGATGTTGGATTGATCGTAGTACAACAGTGAACATGAGAACAGCATACATAATGCTGGGTACAGACCTAACTTACAAGCTGAATCATGAGAACAGCACGAACCTAGGACAAACTGCTAGCGACGGAGATGACACGCAATGGATTGCGATGCTTGGCAACTGCACGGTTGGGTCGATCAGCACCCCCGGCTGGATTTTCGCCCCACCTTTGCACGTAGCATTCAGGGGTCTGACTGGCCCTGCACTCTAGAGAACCCTTGCCAAATGGCTGGCCTCCGGGCATTCTGAACGCTAGACCCAAAACCTGAAGGGACCAACAAAAACCTCTGAGAAACGTCCAAGATGCCCGGCACATGACGGTCCGGACCGATGCCTGGCCAACGGCAGACTTCGAGTGTGCAGGGCCGAGGGCTTAGGCTACATAGGGTTTAGGGTTTAGGGCTGCAAGGACGTCAGTACAGGGATTTGGGGTGCATGGCAAAGGGAATCCAACTGCCTTCAAAACCCCTGGCCCTGGAGCCTTAGGTGTTCTTTCTAGAAACTGACCACCCAAAGTCCAGAACCAAAGCGAAAACATCAATTCCGTCCGCTTCGGACCTGCATGAGCATCTAGAATCTAGACTTTTCACGTTAGAACAAATGGCTTTTAGAACCCCGTGCATAATTGATCCCCACGGCCCAGGCTTAAGCAACGTCGAAACAGATCGGAACCCAACCCTGCCACCTAGAGCAACCTGTAGGGACATAGGCTTAAAGCGGCTTGCTATTACTATTACGCCATTCCGACCCTTTGGCACCAAGCCACGCTCAGGATGGTTGATGGCGTTGCCGGCGCGGTTCAGCGCCGTGCCGTCCGGCAAGTACCCTGGGCTGATCCGCTTCTTAGAGAAGTCCCTAGGGTTTAGGGGTTCCTTTTGGGGTTTAGGGTTTGGGGATGCTACTCCTTGTTGTGTGCATAGAAGCAATGCAGCAACGGAGGGTTTAGCGTTCATAAATGGACCGGTGCTTGCTTTATCTGATAGGTGGCTTACATACACCGCTTGCAGGCTGAGCAGTAAAACGACATCCCGAAGCCAACTACCCGATTGTCCAGTTTCCTACGGACATTAAGGGTTGGCCTTTTAGGATTATGTACGGATCAATGTGTACAAACCCAAAAAAGTTCAAGGCTACCTGATTGACTGCTGAGCCTAGTCTCCCACGTCGTTCGTAAACTCCTGATCTGCGTAGGCATCTCGCTGGAAGCTGTACTCGAAGCTGCTGCCGTGAAGTTTGGTATTCTTTGCCACCGCTGGGGCCGAAGGAGCTGGTGCCGGGGCCGGAGTGGACCGAGCGGTGGGCGGGGTCCTGGGTAGAGGCGGTACACAAGCAAACAGCATCATCTATGAATTATGGCCCTGCCCTACTTTTCGTTCATCTTGTGCAAGTGCCATGGAACTCAACCCGATAAACGCGCTTCCTGGCTCATCAAAACTCGAAAAAACTGCTCCCGAGTCATAAAGTCTAGGGGCCATCCAGGAGGTGGAAGCGTCGGCGCGGGCGCGGCCTTAATGGAGTTGTTGCCGGCTGTCAGGAGCGCTGTGCCGTCTGCAAGGTAGCCTTAGACACGCTGCATCCCAGCTTTCTTTTGACGGGAACTGCTTAGGAATAGTAGGAATTCATACTCCCAAAAGGCCACACCCAAAGGGCAATTATAAGTCACCCTGCTACTAAAGCCAAATCGCCAGTGTCAGCCATGTACGTAGAAGGGGGCAGTGGCGAGCCGGCCACATGTGGGTCTGGCATCATCGTCTCCGGATGGTTGATAGCGTTGCCCGCTGCGTTCATGGGGGTGCCGTCCGGCAAGTAGCCTCAGTGCTCCGAGAGTTTATGAGGAGCTTCCTGTCTACCGAAGCAGAGTCTAGGTTGGGGTTCAGTCTGCATGCCACCCTGAACTCGAGACGTTCCAGGGCCCTCTCCAATTTGCTGGGCACAGAACACTTAGCAAGACTGCCTCACATTAATTGGGCGTCGGACTGGCTTAGCTAGCTGTCCTGATCACGGGTACAAGACAACAATCTGACTCTTTTGCGGAGCAAAGTCACCGACCGAGTTCACAAACTTGGCGCGGGGAAGCGGGGTTCCAGAGATGTGCTTGTCCGCGGCAATGGTCTCCGGATGATTGATGGCATTGCCCGCCCGGTTCATCGCCTGCAAGGCGCAAAATGGATCTGCTTTATCAAGGACTCAGAGCCCTACCAGAATCAAAGACCCTAAAACCCTAACCCCCTCAACGAGTCAGCTCCGAGTGAGACCCATGGTCTGGTCAAAAACCACACTCGGAGATTCAAGCTGGGATCTTCCGGCGGAGGCTGCATTCGAGCGATGGGGCTTTCCATCTGTTTGTCCAGCCCCAAACCCTGAACCCAAGCCGCAACCCCTACCTGAGCCCAACACCCTACCACCCTAAACCCGACAAACCTAGACATAATTAAATATCTTAAGAGGCGAGTTGCCGTTCCGTCCGGCAGGTAGCCCACGTCGTTGAGGAAGTCGAGGTCGGCATAGGCATCCTTCTGAAAGGCGTAGGTTGCATCCTTCATGGCAATCTTTGACCTAAGCTGCGGAAACTTAGACATCTAAGGCGTCTGGGCCGGTTTTAGGGTATGTGGGTTGCTTGCAGGACCTTCGGCTTCAAGGTTTCGGATTCTGAGGTTTGGAATTTTCCGGCAAAATGATCGGACGAAGACACGGCCCTGGAAAGCCGAACATCACTGGAAGCAAAGCAAACTGTCAGGAATGAAAACGGCGGAGAATACATGTATCGATGTGTTGCGGCAGTGCGGATGTTCGAGGACGCCCATACAAGTTCTCACGATAAGGATCGCCAGGGCAGAGCACATATTATTTAATATATGACTCTGTGGCTGTTGATGATGGCAGTTGGATGAATGAAAAACAGTGAACAGCGTTGTATTTCGACGCCTCCATTCCGGACACCCTACACCCCCAATCAGATGCCTGAAATATCAGGGCTGCACCCTCGACCCGAATCCCATCAAAGCATGAGCCCCGTCGTTATGGCAAGTGAGTGAGCAGCGAAGACTTGGCGCAAAGAGACCGCCCACTACAGCGAAACCCGGACTTGCATACCTTTGCACAAAGGAGCCGTGGGCAACATAGCCAGAAAAACAACGTTCTTTGAGTCTTAGCCGGAGTCTACAACCCCTGGACACCCTCCAAACCTGAAGCTTCCGGGAAGCCTGACTAGCCACAATCCCTCTCACTGTATTTACCCCCAATTAACGGCTACGTTCCTGGGAATCGAAGTAAAGGGTGCCTTCTTAGAGGTTCATGGGTATGTAGTTTGAGTGAGGTTAAACGTGCTTCCATTGGCTCTGGTTACCTTACCCTATGCTTCCAAGGACCCTATAGTTAGGGCCTAGACCCCTTAAGGACCCCATAACAAGGTCCCTGGAAGCAGAGGGGTACTTACAACTTATAAACCACACTTGTAGCAACCCACGAAACCTCCAAGTTTACCGGGTGTTCCGGCGAACCCTAAACCCTAAACTCGTAATATAGAAGCCTCAATATTTGACAAGATTATTCCTGGCGCTTGTCAACTAAAAATGTACTCCCAAACGGTCCTAAACCCTATCTTGATTCTTAAGGCTTTTCTATTACACCCTCAACCCCAAGCCAAAGCACAGAAAACACTAAACCCAAAAACCCAAACTTCACTGAAAACTCAAAACCCTAAACCAAGACCAAAGCACAGAAAACCCAAAACCCTAAACCCTAAACCCCAAGGTCAAAGCACAGAAAACCCTAAACCCGAAACCCCAAGGCCAAAGCCCAGAAAAGCCTACACCCTAAACCCCAAACCCCAAGGCCAAAGCACAGAAAACCCTAAACCCTTTAAACTCTAAACCGTAAACCCGAAGCCCTAAACCCTAAACCCCAAACCCCAAGGCCAAAGCACAGAAAACCCTAAACCCTATAAACCCTAAATTACCCTAAACCCTATAAACCCTAAGCCCTAAACCCCAAGCCAAAGCACAGAGCCCCTTTCTTCCCACGGCGGCTGCCAGCCAGGGCTGGGAGCAGAAGCCCCGCGCAGGCGACCTGAGATCTCTGCGCTTCGGAGCTTCCTTAAGGGTTTTGTGGGGGGTGAGGGGGGGGGGGGGG